CTTATTTTGAGTTAAAAGAACTTACCATACAGATAAGTATGGAATTTCATGCTAGGGCATTCTTTCAGCTGTCCTCATTCAGACTAGTTACACGAGTGGCAATCTGCTTTTCAGGCATTATTCAGAGCTAATATTGCCAAGAAAGCGAACAATGAATAAATAAAATAAATCAATAAATTACACAAAGCTCAGAGATTACAAATTCTCCTGCAGCCTGTCACTACTTTTGCTAGTCTGAGGTCTCAGTCCTTGTTGACCTGTGTTCACAACACAGTCTCCTACAGGGACTGGCTAGTTTCTGTCACCCAGTTGTGTTTTCCTACTCTGCAGGATACTGAGGCTGTTATTGCACTGCATTCATTGCATTTACTTCCAGAATATTTTGCTAATGCAATTAGGTGTGTGAAAGGACTCAGACGTGAATGCCGTAACCTTATTGCTTTCCCCATGGAGACTTCTCAGGCAGACAGTAAGGAAGCAGGGAGATGCGCACAGTGTGGTGAAGCGGTAGCCACGGCTCGCCATCTCATAGAAGGTCTGTGCTGACCCTTGTGATTTCCATTTGATTAATGCACAAATTGACAACAGTCATGGTGCTTGTGCCTCGGGGACCTTGTGGAGACAGTAATCAACATGTGCCCAAGGGCAGGGAGAGCTTTTTTTTTAGTTTCTCTTTGCCTTAGATGTTTTCCACCGTAAATATATTTGGCCAACAGATAGTACAGTTTTTGTTTTGTTTTGTATTTTTTTTAATTGAGATGTAATTGACATATAACATTATATGAGTTTCAGGTGTACAACATGATTCGATATTTGTATACATTGCGAAATGATCACAGTGAGTCTAGTTAACGTCCGTCACCTTACACAGTTACAAAAATTTTTTTTCTTGTGATGAGAACTTTTAAGATCTACTCTCTTAGTAATTTTCAAATATGTAATACGGTATTATTAACTATAGTCACCATACATTACATCCCCATAACTTATTATTTTGTAACTGGCAGTTTGTACCTTTTGACCATCTTCACCCATTTCTCCCACCCCCCCCAACCCCATCTCTGGCAACCACCAGTCTGTTCTCTGTATGTATGAGCTGGGGTTTTTTTGTTTTTGCTTTTTAGATTTCACATACAAGTGAGATCATACAGTATTTTTCTTTCTCTGTCTGACTTATTTCATTTAGCATAATGCCTTTAAGGTCCATCCATGTTGTCAGAAATGACAAGATTTTCTTCCTTTTATGGCTGAACAATATTCCATTATATATTTTTCTATATGTGTGTGTGTGTGTGTGTGTGTATACACACACACACACACACGCATATTTTCTTTGTCCATTCATCCATGGGTGGACATTTAGAAAGTACAGTTTTGGCATAAGATAGGACAGTGGTGTTTCTCTTAACATTTGGAGTGAAGAGAAAAATTTAATAATGTTGAATATCAAAAGCTTGAAATACTTTCTGTAGTTTCAGTCATCTGGTTTCCCTGGTTAACAGTTAAAAAAAAGAGAACAAATAGCAGTCAGTTATCGTTTTGGTTTTTCCTAGCAGGTGTGACATCTACAGTAGTAACTAGAGTCTAGAAAATGCTTTTCTTTTTTAAAGCTACAAATAGCTACCAAATTGGGATGCATAAAAATAATAATAAAAAGAAGGATAACTCTATCTTTGAAAATCTTGTCAATCTTTCTTTGATTTTATCTAGAACTAACACCTAATCTGAGCAAATGGATTCCTGTTTTCCATTTTTATGTTGGTCTATTACTGCAGTCAGTAAATATGCATTGGAACTGTTTTGGTAAAAGCTGAAAATGTGGAACATATTCCAGACATAAAGGGAGGATTGGGGAATCCTTGATTTTCAGAGCAGTGCCAAAGGCAGACAGATGTGAGAGAATACAGGTAACTGACAATCCTTCTCTGTTTCTGCGTTGTTATTAAGCTCTGTAAAATCAAAGTGCTATTTTGGCTAGAGAAATAGGAATTCATTACTGATGGACTCAGGAGAATGGAGGAGTGTTCATTTCTTCCCTTTTCTAAGTCATTCAAATTGTTTGGCTTTTTCTCTCAGCAAAGTGCCTGTTTCCTTGGCACCTTGCCTCTACCAGCACTGTTAATTTCAATATTTTGGTCACTTTTGTTTGCCATCATTGTTATCAACAATTTTCTACATGCTCCATCCCATTGTTTGTGACAGAGATCAGGTAAATTGCTGATGTGCTGAAGCCAGGGTATTTGCTCCTGCGAATTCAGCAAATGTCAGAGCAGGGACAGATCGAGCCCTTGGCCTCCACCTACTGGTGGCGGGCGTCACAGCAGCCACACTGTCAGGTAGGTCTAAATCAGGTCCAGCCAGTGATGCCTGTTTAAATTATTTAGCAAAGGAAATGTGATAACATGTATATCTTGCAATAGTAAAATATGATACAGTCAAATTGATAGGTATATAGAGCACTAGAGATAAATCAGGGACTCATTATTAACATTCAATTTGTATGGAGAGAGTTTAAAAAATTACCTTCGGCAACACCATCAGTGCTTCACAGAAATACATTCTCTTCTGGAGATGTATCAATTCAGTTAATAGTAAAAGTCAACTACTAATAGTATGTGCTTGAACTGTATATGTAGAGAAGGATTTATGTATAATCACTGTGGGGAGTAACCTGTGAAATAATGCAACGGCTGCTTTTTGATGTGTAACAATATGCATGTGTGCATGTGGTGGTATATATTGCTCTATGTGTCCATACTGTCTGCATGTATATAGAGTCCATCTGGTGTGGAGTTGTTGAAACCAGTGGGATGTTCACGTCATGGGTGTGATTTTCCAGACAGATGGAAAGCATTAAATGATTTAGGATTATGACAACACAACTTGCTTTCTATATTTGAGTCCGTAAGTCCATTGTATGCTCATTGCATTTATGTATAGTTTCTGATGTGGAGGAAACTTTGCTATGTCCTTAGGATCCTGGAGAAACCTTGTTGATTTCTCCAACAGTAAAGCTACCAGCAGTTGTTTCATTGTTCTTGGAATTAAGATGCTTTCCTAATTTATGTTCTGATTGTTACTCTCTTGACAGTGGCAACAAATACATAAAAAGAGCAGTGTTTATTTAAAACTAGAGATGCAATTCTCCTAAAATTTCAAATAAACTTTTTATTATGGGAATTTTCAGTCATTCACCAAAATATGAATCCCCATGTACCTGTTACTGCACTTCAATGATTATCAACATTTATAAATTCACTTTAAATAAGTATGTTACAATTCATGTAAAAATATTTCTGAACCCACGTACTTTAACGTCAGGGTAGAAGAAAGAAACAAATACTATGTAATGGCTATTGACTACGTTGTGGATCATTGCACACTTTGGAGAGCCAAATTCTCAAAATAAGAGATTTTCATAGGAGAAGGAAATCAATTTCTAAGAATATGAGTAATACGTGGCCATATAACAAATAATATAACTGTTAACATTATTTTTCTTTAATAAAATATGTGGCAGAAAAATGTATTCTCCAATAGTTTATTTTTATAAATAAAAATAAATTTGAGTCAGAAGAAAGTTTTTTTTTTTTGTTTTTTTTTGCTGAGGAAGAGTGGCCCTGAGCTAACACCTCTGTGGCCCTGAGCTAACACCTCTATGCCAATCTTCCTCTATTTTGTGTGTGGGACGCCACCACAGCATGGCTTAATGAGTGGTGTGTAGGTCTGTGCCTAGGGTTCCGAACCCGCGAACCCCAGGCTGCTGAAGCAGAGCATGGGAACTTAACCACTATGCAGCCAGGCTGGCCACAGAAGAAACATTTTTAAAAATGCCTTGCTATGACTGTAGGTGTATGGCACATACTATCAATCTCCCGTTTCTGGTGCCCACTCTGCGGGCGCTCTCCATGCCCCTTTTTAGTATTCTGGGTTTGACAGTTAATATCTGCGTCGTTAGAGCTTTCCTAATTTAATATGACAAACTGGGTGGAGTTTATTCAATAAAGAAAAGAAATTGCTAATGCCAGTCACATCAGATAGCAAGTTCCATTTTTTCAGACATGTGTCCTGGGTATATTAAATAAAATCAATCAAATATTCTCCCTCTTCCCTCAGTCTTTCTGATTTAAACCTCTCAAATCAGGTCTGCAAAGCTGACGCTCGAGTCTTGTTAAAGATTTGGACTCCATAACCAATTTGTTCAAAACTAAAACTTCTGATCGCAGCTTTCTTTATTTCATTGTTGCAAGTTTTAAATATTACTTAAATCTCTTCTTTTGACTGTGTCCCAACTTTAGAAACAAAAGTCTCATTTTTTTTTTTGTTTTGCTTCTCTAAGTAAAGGACCCCAAATCTGATTTGATTTTTGATTATAATGCATATTTGATAACAAAAATGATTTTCCCTTCATTTTCAAGAAGTCTCGTTGAGAAAGCTTCCTAATTTTTTTTTCCATGAATGTGATTTAGCTTCTGGGACCCTCCCCATGAAGATTTTAAAGTTTATACTGAAATGCAATTTTTTAAAATTCTGACTTTGCATAATGAGGATGCTTTTCATATGTGGCTTTCTTCCATGACCCACATATTGGGGTCAGGCCCCTTCCATTTGGTGACTGAGATGTCCTCTAGGGCCTTGCTATCTTCTGCTTTCAGCCAACAAAAATAGAAATAGCTTGTGGAGGGGCCACCCACACCTTAAAAGCCATGTCTCAGGAGTGGCATATGTCACTTCCATTCAAATTCCCCTGGATACACCTAACTGCAAGGAAAACTGAGGGATGTAACCTTGTTGGATGCCCAGGAAGAACAGAAGTCAGAGTTTTGATGAACAGGTGGTAAGACCCTGCTGTACCTGAATGCCGGGCTTCAGTACATTACAAAGAAAGCTTTGAAATCTGAGGAGCCTCAGCAGACAGGAGAGAAATGAAAGGGCTGGGTCTGACTCGTACTGAGGCCCATGGAGATACAGACACGGCCTGTTTGGTTTCTGGTTTATAGATCGTACCTGGAACTGATGCTGATGTGACTGTTGGAACCTCGGTGACCGAGGGGGCCCCGGTGGAGGAAGCAGAGACAGAGAAGGCAGCTCTTCCTGCGGGGGAGGGAGCGAGTTTAGAGGAGGCCAGGATTGATACTGAAGCCACAGAAGTCGTGGATAGCGACAGGTCTCCACCAGAAGAAATAGAAGCAGCAGCGCCTCAGGTAAGTGTCCTAGTGAAGTGGAGGTTCTAGGAAGATGGCGCCAGATAGAATGCACTGTCCATTGGTTAATGATGATAACTCTTTTGAATGTGGAATAGGTTTGTAGCCATTTTGTGGCATTCCACTCCACCAAAAAAAAAAAAATCCTTAGAAACAGTGGTTGCAGCATTCCCTCAATATCAGTGTTGGGGGGATCCACACAAGCCCCCAGTGCTATGGTGGACTGCACTTAAGCACAGATAGGGGAAAAGGAAACTGCAATAAAGTGATGGAGAAAAGGAATGAAGCACAGACGATGAAAAGGATGAGCATGGAGGGAGGAGAAAGAGAAGATGATAGAATAATAGGGTTGTTGTATGGATTAAGAGAAAATGGCCATAAAGTGCTGAGCCCTGTGCCAGGCACATGGTCAGAACCCAGTATTAGAAGTTAAATCATATTATTATTATTACTATTTTGTAGTGGTTATTATTAGAGTGCCCCAAATTCACCCCATCTTAAGGCTCCTTTCACCAAAAGCCCATCCCAATGTTGCACCTTCAAAAGAAAAATGGGTCATTAAATACATACGTGAAGTTGGACTTAGCCCCAGCTCCTCACTTCTTCAGAGAAGCGTTCAAAGGCAACAAGTCCATATATTCCATGACGTGGGAGACTCAAATCCAAGTGCCAAAGCAAGGACAGCTCTTCTAAGCCCCATGTTTGGTTCTTCTGTATTCTGGAAGGTCACAGTGAAGACTGGGCTTAATGTATGCTTTCTATTTTCCTGTTTATTTTACTCATAATAAATTTCCAAAAATCTCTCCAGGGTTACTCAAAGCTTGAAACTGAATTATCCCTTTCATCCCACTAGAAAGAAAGCAGATTATATTGGTGTTTGAAGAAATAACTCAAAAGTATATTCCATTTTTTCATGACATTTTCTTGTCACAACGTCAGGATTATTTTTGTATGTAGTGTTATACTTGTTGAAAGAGTGTATTATTTTCTCCAAACAAGAATGGAAGTGCTTATGTCCACTGATATCTGGGGGAATGTAGAACTTGATCTGAAAGGCAGTAAACATCTCCAGACTTCCATTATGCTGGTGAAACTCCCCTCCTTGCTCGTCTTTGTTAAAACATAGAAGGGAGGTCTTCATCCTTTGGTTCTGCTTCCCCCCCAGACAATAGAGTACTTGGCGTGGTTGGTGGGGATTGTAACCCCTCAGGCTGTAACTGCAGTGTGGGCTCTAATGAGAATCCACAAGCAAAGGACAGGGAGATTGTCTCCAGACACGGGCCAGATCTTTGCCAACAATGTGGTTTCAGGCTATTCTGGAGGCCCATGGGACTCAGAAAGAAAAGCAAGCAGGGGAGGTTAAATGTCAGCTTCAAGTGAGTGTTACTATTCAGTGGGGCAGGAACGGGACACTCTTGGAATCCTGCTGCATTCCCGTTCAGGACTCTCCCCTACCCTGTCCTGAACACCCTCCCTCCCTTCAGTCTCCTCTCCCTCTTCTCAGTTTCCACAGAGACCTCACTCTTACCAAACTGCATGATTGTTGAGGGATGCGGAAATTAATCCCAGTGAGGGTTTGTGTTTCAGGAGAGAGAGAAAGGAGGCCTGTCAGGAGGAAGGTCCTGCAAGGTGGAAGGCCCAAAGGCCAGAAAGGTTTAGGGAACCACAGGCATTTAGTTGAATGAGGGAAGTGGGGAAAGTGGGAGCCAAGGAGGGTGGGGCAGGGGTAGAGACAGCCCCTGGAGAACACAGAAGTCTTGTCTCCCAGGCCTGCTCGGCACCACCATGTTTTTCTTCCTCCAGGAGAAGGTCATCCCTTCTGTCGTCATACAGCCCGCCTCCAACAATGAGGGGGAGGGAGAGCACGAAATAACCCTAGGTGCAGAGCCCAAGGAGGCCACCGATGGTGCTGCTCTTCCGGCCTCCACGCCAGAGCTGAGCGCGGAGCAGAAGGCGGGCGAGGACTCCCAGCTGGCGCCCTCTGCTCCATCTGCAAGTGAGGCCTCTCAGGAAGTGCCTCCCGGCTTTCTCTACAAGGTCTTTGCAGTTTTTATTTGTTTTAATCTGGTGGCCATTTGTCCTTCCTTTGCTTTGAGGCCCTTTTGCTTGAACCTGTGGGTTTCCAATTTTTACTTTTGCTTTTTGCAATATATATTCTTTCTCTGTACTGCTCTCGCCTTCATCCCAACATCATGTTGTGACATGGTAGGATTTTTGGGCTGCTGGACAAGCAAGAACTACAGTAATGTCTTTCCATGTTTTAACAAACCAGAATTAAAGAAAGTTCGCCACAGGGTGAATGGTATGCCCCTTGGTAGTGAATGGGTGGACTGTTTCCACCTGGGAGCCCTCGCATGCTCCCTGTAGAGCCCTGTGAGTCCCTGCAGCCCTGGGCTCAGACCAGAGCTTTGAAAGCACCCATGCGCTCCTCTGCTCGCTGGCTAGATTACACGCCTCCAGAGGGTGAGAAACACGAACCATTCAGTCAACTCTGGCACCTTGTTACAGTGCATGACCCAGAGTAGGGAACCAATAAATACTTGAAAAGTGAGTGAGTAAATATATTAATGGGCTTCTATGAAAAGGAGGAAAAAAGAGGCCACATTAATGGGAAGAAGATTTTGCTCAGAAAAGCCATCAAATGGCTACTTAGAGCCTTCAGAAACTAGAAGATCCTTACCAAAAACCCCAGTAAATACCTGAAAACACTGGCTTAAGCCGAGGGTTGAAGGCAGATAACGCTACCTAATAGAATATGGTTGGAATTTTAAGTTCCATATTTGATTTTACATTTCAAAATTCAGCTCTTTTTCTTTTAAAAAGTATTAAATTTATGTGTGTTTGTGGGGGTGGAATTGAATAGCAACACTCATTATTTTTTTTTCTCTCTCTCTCTGCTCATTAGAAAGTAGCTGCTATCTTGCCACCTCAAATGGGGACAGAGCGGGTATAATAGACTCATGAATGAATTGATGTGGAGAAAAAATTAGGCACATGGCTAGTGAGGGCACGTGTGTGCTGTGTTGGTTTTAAGTACGGCACAGGAAGCTACGGAGGCAGCGTGCGCGCCAGGCCCGGCAGGCCCGTCCCCGCTTCCCTCACCAGCTGCAGTGTGAGCTGAGCAGCGTCACTGAACCCCTCTCTCCGGGCTTCAGTTTTCTTTTCAGAAAAGTGAATTTGGGGATCAGATAGTCATTTCCAGCTCTGACATTTTATGGTGCTATATGCAAAATACACATTTCAAAAGCCAATTGTTTAATCTCTGGGGTGAGGTTGAGGAGAGGGACATGGGAGAAATAAACTGGCCGTAGCTTAAATAGTAATTCAAGCTGGGTGATGAGTCCGTGGGGGTTGATTATACTCTTCTCTCTGCTTTTTTTTTTAAATTTTCTATAATCAAGTTTTAAAGAAATCTTTCAAAAGGAAGGAAGGAAGGGTGGGGAGATAGGACAGGTGTTGTTTAAGGGTACAGGCTTGCAACGAGTAGTAAATACGCCCTAGAGACCTAAAGCACAGCAGGTGAATATAGACAATGGTATTGTATTATAATCGTCAAACTTGCTAAGAGACTAGAACTTAATTATTCCAACCACTCAAAAGAAACGATAATTATGTAACGTGATAGAGGTGCTATTTATCACTACAGTGGCTATCATGTTACAATATATGTGTATCAAATTAACATGTACACTTTGAATTTACACAATGTTATGTCAAATATATTTCAATTAAAAAAAGAAAAAGAGGAAAGAAAAGAAACAGATTGGCATGGTTTAAAGAGTAGGATAGGGAAGGAAGTTTATTTATAAAGAAATTGATCACAGGGTTTAATTAAATAGTAATTCCCATATAACATGCAAGTGATGGTTTTCCCAATTATTAATTATTAGACAGACGCGGGGGTTAGAGGAGCTTTCTGCTGCATATTTTTATTTCCACTTAAAAAAACAGTGTTCACTAAAAACTACACATTTTTAGTTCAGGTTAAAAAAACAGAGTAATAAAGCATCAGCGATAATAAAATGCAAATCTGTAACAAAAATGTGACTAATTAAAATTAAATTAATGCACTATATTTCAGCTCTTGCAGAAGGCCTTGCATTAGTAAATATACATCCAAATGGCCTCATATCAGTCTAAAGAATTAGATGTTTTAAGTAAACAGAATAGGATTTTCTTTCTGTCTTCAGAGGCTTTTTCTTTCCTTGGGATGTGATACATAGCTTCGTCTTTGGAGATGCTTCTCAGAGTGCCTGCTGATAATCTGTGAGACTGACTTTATGTCTCCTTTTCTTTCTAAATTAATCCTTTATTTTACAATCTTTTGCAGGTGGAAACACTGCATGATTTCGAGGCAGCAAATTCTGATGAACTCACCTTACAAAGGGGTGACGTGGTGCTGGTGGTCCCCTCGGATTCGGAAGCTGACCAGGTAGAGGATGAGATTGGAAGGTGCTGCAGGCTGTATTGGTTTTTCCTGAGGGTCATTTGGACACAGTGACTCCCTGAAGACATTTTCATTTTCGGAGATGCTTCAAGGCAGCTCTGAGGGCTTATGATCACAGCACATCACTAACTGTAGGTTTTTAGGACACCTCTTGAGATGCTGCTATATTGTTTCTTTTTTATACAAATAGATGACCATTTCTTATTATATACCCACTTTCTAGGGATGTTGTCTCTGAAACACCAGCCTTGAGGAAATGCAGACTATCCATGTGTATTAAAAGTCCATTCAAGAGTAGTTTCTTCTGGGTGTGTGGAGGGGACCAGGAAAGAACACGAGGGGGCTTTCTGGGGATGGAAATGTTTTATACCTTGGTAGGCGTGTGGGTTACACGTGTGTATGCATTTGTCAAAACTCACTGACCTGTACACATAACAATCTCTGCATTACAGTGTTTTAAATGATACCTCAACTTTAAAAGGTTCTCTAAAAACAATCACCTTTGAGCATAGTAGTCTGATGTTAAGAAACTGAGAACTCCATTTTGTTCTTGTTCATAAATTTGTGAACTCCTGAAATGGCATGCAAAATATTTAAATGTGTCTGTTAACATATTTTTCTGGAGAGAAGAGCTATAACTTCCATAACATTCTCAAAGAGATTTATGAGCCCTTCCCCCAGATAATAACATCACTACTTATGAGTTTAAGGCTTACATGTCCTGCATTTTGTTCTTTCTCTTGATAGTACACTTACCAAGATAGATTAGGTGCTGGTTCAAACAAACGAAAGAGTCTATACCACAATAAAATTAAATTAGAAATTAATAATAATAATAATAGTATATCTTTAAAAAATTTAAAAATTTAAAAAATACTCTTCTAAATAATCCATAGATCAAATAAATCACAGTGTAAGTTTAAAAAATATTTCATAGTAATCATTGATTTGTAATTTTTTAGCCTAAGGAGATAAAAAGAGATCAAATTAAATACAAAGTACATAGAAGGAGGGAAATAATAAACATAAATTCACAAATGAATGCAAGACTCACAATAGAGAAAATTAATAAAGCCAAAAGTTAGTTCTTTGAAAGGATTAATAAAATTGTTAAAACCTTAGAAATAGTCTTCAAGAAGAAATTGACCAAGCATAAATTGCCAACATCAGGCAAAGTGTCTATGTATCTCAAAATCATTAAAACCCCATTCTAAACTTATAAAATATATAAAACATGTACTTATAAAATATAAACTTATAGTTTTTGCATTAACCATAGTTATCTTTTAAAGAAATTAAGAGGAAAAAAGCTAGTCTTTCGTATTTACCGACATGCTGACCGTTTCCAGTGCTCTTATATGTTCCTACAGATCTGAGTTTCCAGCTGATCTCACTTCCTTTCTGCCTGAACAACTTCCTTTACCAAGTCCTGTAGTGCTGATCTGCTGGCAATAAATCCTCTCAGCTTTTGTTTATCTGAAGATGTCTTTATTTATCTTCATTTTTAAAGATATTTTCACTAGAGAAAGAATTCTGAGTTGACTGTTTTTTGTTTCAACTCTTTAATGATGTTGTTCCTTTGTTTTCTGGTCTCTACTGTTGATATTAGAACTCAGCTGTCATTTGTTTAAGGTTGTTTCTCAGTATACAACGTGACTTTTTCCCGACTGTTTTTTAAGAATTTCTCTGTATCTTTGGTTTCCATTGGTTCAACTGTAATGTGCTTAGGTCTTGTTATTTTGTAGTTTTCATGCTTGGGGTTCACTGAGCTCCTTAGACTTGTATCCTGATATTTTTCACTGCATTTGGAAGACTTGCAGCTATTATTCTTAAATTTTTTTTCTCTTTCTCTTCTTTTTCTCTGTCTCCAATTATGCATATGTTGGACTTGTTGTCTAACACTGTTCTTTTTTGTTCAGTATTTCTTTCTTTTTGGTACTCAGGTTGGATAATTTCTGTTAATCTGTCTTCGGTACAGCGAGCCTTTCTTCAGCTACTTTGAATTTATTGTTAAGCTTATTCAGTGAATTTTTTGTTTCAGATATCGCATGTACACAGTTCTGTAGTTTCCATGTTGCTCTTTTATATAGTTTCCATTTCTTTGCTGAGATTTCCCACCTCTTCTTTCATTATTACCATCTTTCAATTTAAGTACTTGAACCTATTTATAATAGCTGCTTTAAATTTCTTGCCACAAATTCCAGAAGCTGGGCCATCTCAGGGCACGTTTCTATTGATTGCTTTTGATCTTTGGGTCATATTTTCCTATTTTTTTCTCATGCCTGGTAAGTTTTTTAATTGATTCTGGACACAATAGATAATACATTGTAGTGAGTCTAGATCTGTTTTCTATCTCTGAAGGTTATTTCTTTTTCTTCTAGCAGATATTTAAGTTACTGGATAATTACTTTGAATTCATGGAAGTTTGTTCTACACTTTGTTAATGTGGGTCTGTTTCAATTTTGCCTTTACTCTTAGGATAAATCCTTAGTCCTGGGACATTGTCTCTACCTCTGAGACATGGCCCCTTCTGGGATTTCAATAGAAATCCTGAAGGGTTTATCAAGCCCCCTAACTTTGTGGGGTTCAAACTCAACTCTGCCTCTTCTCCATTGGCAGAGCTTAAATTTATACTCAGCTTTTTCTGTCTTCCCGCTGTTGCTTTCCTCCAGGCTCCTTGGGGTACACCTTATGCATTCACAGCTTGAGGGGCAGCTCAGGATTTCAGGAAAGTTTCTCTGCATATTTGAGGACCCCTGTCTGTAGCTCTCTCCTTTTCAAGATATCTCCTGTAAAAGTACAGCTGCTCTGGCAGCTCTTAACTCTATCTTCTGAGTGCCTTGCATCACACAGACTGAGGGTAATCCTCAGGGGGGGAGGTGTATCAGCATCAGTCTCACCTGTTGCAGTTACCTACTTTCAAGGGTTAAATATCCCCCAGTTCCTGCCTGCTGTTGGTCATAGTGCCTTCAAATAGTTGTTGTATATGTACCACCCCATTATTTATAACGACACCACTATATAAACTTATATCTTATAACAGTCATTTCTATATAGCAATAGTTGCATATATGTATACATATGTGTGTGTGTGTATATATATATAAATATAAATATATAGTTATTCTAGTGTTTATAATTGTTCTGTGCAGAAGCGTTTGTCTGATACAAGCTATTTTGCCATTACTCAACCTGGAAATCCTTAGTCTACTGCCTATTTGAAGCAATTAAAATTTAATTTTCCATATTTTCCTCAGCTACTGATTGATATTGGCTATTAGTCTTCACTTTATAAGTTGGATTTCAGATATATGTATTGGAATATATCTTGATATGGGTTTGTGCCAGTCTTGTACTTTTTGTCTTTATTGAGACTGTTTTAAAACGCATGACTCTACTTGGCTCTATTAGCTTTCTCACTCACTGTAAATAAAGTCAAATATAGACACTGGTGGGGAAAATATGGCCTTTGATATACTTACTGGAGGTTTAGAAAATATTTAGTTATCATCTTTTACTTTAAGTATAGCTTTGTCCTTCACATCATAACATCATAATTTTAAAGAGGACACTTTTCCTCATCAGCTAGGATATTATCAGTTATTTTATTGAGTCATTTTTTTTCTCAGTGGTTTTTTTTTTTTTGCCTTCAAAATTGGCCTGTCTAAATGCTTATATTTCTTATCTATATAGCAGTGTCAATTTATAGTCTCAGATTATATCAAAAGGGAATGTATTCAGCTTCTTCATTTAATTTTTGAGACCTTATTTTATCTGATGTACTTGAGCTCTATTGGGGATTGGTTCAGATCACATCTGGCCATCTTTCTTCTTAAGTGGGATCTCTTTCCCGTATTGGTTAACATAATAAAGATAATCATTTCCCACTCGTTTTGCTTCATACAGTCTGTATGTCTAATGTTATTCCTTCAACTCAGCTTTTTTCTAGTAGCCTCTGCTTATCCTCAGGAGGCCAAGGACAGGCAGCAGCCTCCGTTTCTCAGTTTTGCATGTCATCGCCCATTCTGTAAGACCATATGCAGATGGGTTCTTTAACCTTTTCATGGCTAAATGTCTTCATTTTTATGATGGCATGCCTATATGATAGACAAATGTTTATGAGGGATAATTTATAAAAAAATATGAATGTTTCCAACGAGAGTGTCATGACAACAAACTGCTTTGTAGTTTATATAAACTTGAAAAATTAGTTATTATAACAGCAACAACAAACACAACAGGAATATCAGGTGACACATATCTAGCTGTTATTATTTGATAAGCCCTGTATGTGTGGTTTATTTGGGTTAAATGATATGAGCTGGGGCACAGAGTTCTTTCTTATAAGCAAGTGGTTCAGGATGAAATACAAGACCTGCCATGGCCTGGTCAGCACTGTATTCTAACCCAGGGGTCCTCAAGCCTTTTTTTCACTATGACCCACAGGACAGGGAATGTTCTTGTGCATGATACGTTTTCACCTGGTGTTTCGCTCTTTGCACTGGCTGTAATTCTAATCCTTTTCCCTTCCTTAAGAACTCATGTCATAATACAGTTAGCATCAATTAACTGTACTTTATATGAAATTATAATATTAATATTAACTTTCAGTTAACTATACTTTATGCAGAAAATAAATAATTTAAAATGTTTATTATTTATTTATTTATTTGGTGAAGAAGATTTGTCCTGAACTAACATCTGTTGCCAATCTTCCTCTTTTTTTGCTTGAGGAAGATTAGCCTTGAACTAACATCTGTGCCAGTCTTCCTCCATTTTGCGTGTGGGACGCCACCACAGCATGGCTGATGAGTGATGTAGGTCCATGCCTGGGATCCGCAAATCCAGGCCACTGAAGCAGAGCGCATCGAACTCAACCACTATGCCATGGGGCCAGCCCTGTTTATTTATTTTTAATTAACCATTTGTTTGGGATGAGGCTTCCCACTGATCTCAGCACACCGGTTTATGTGTACTGTGACGTCTTGGTGCAGGACCACAACACTAAGCAAATTATTTTATAAGTTGTTGGAAGTGCAGATTTTTTCAGTAGTTTATTGGACCTTGAAAGCCCTCTCTTTGTCTTGCAGGATGCAGGCTGGCTGGTAGGAGTGAAGGAGTCAGACTGGCTTCAGTACAGAGACCTTGCCAGCTACAAAGGCCTCTTTCCAGAGAACTTCACCCGACGCCTGGATTAGGGCCAAAGTCTTGTAGAAAGAGCCTGGTACTGGGTTTTTAAACCTTCATGAAAGCCTGAGGAGTTCACTTTTGCTGTTACACTCTTAATGATTTACAGACTGATGCCAGACAAAGCTTGCAAGGGTATATCAGTGGAGCATGTGTGTAAAAAAATGTAAGAGAAAAAAAGTAAATTCAGGAAAAAATCCTCACTGGTTCCCACATTATGGATAACAGGTTTGTTTGTGCTTTGTCCAAGCTGTGGACACTCTTGTCCTTGACCCCTCCCACCAATCCTAAAGTAGCTTTCTCCAGACCGGAACCTGAATTTCTCTGCACCAAGTGTATGGTAGTGAGCGGCTGTCCTGCAGAAGCTGTGTTAAATTATCCTGTAGTACGAGATGATCTTATTCCCCTGCACAGGTGTGAGCACGTGCTCTCTCTCTCTCTCCCCCTTTCAAGTTTACTGTGTTTAAAACTACACTGCTGCAAAAGTTTTCAATGTCCTTTTCCAACACACCTCTCTCTATATATATGGACACACAATGACACAAGCTAGTTCCCATCACTCCTGGATCTATGTGTATGCACACAGTTACATATACATAGTTGCTTTCTTTCCTTCCCATTGTAGCTCGTGGCCTCTGAGTGTCATTGATACATGCATTGCTCTTCTTCTGTCTGGCATTACAGTTGCAGTTTTGCCTCAGAGCAAAACCAGCCATCCCATTGCCAAAACAGTCAACAGTATCTGTGTTTATAATGTGCATTTTTCAGGATACGATGACAAATAGCATGTCTAAACAGCCGCCCCTTTGGAGAAAGCAGGACCGGATTATCTAGATGTCCAGCTGCTGAGGCTGGAGGTAGGCTAGTCGGGCTGAGCAGCTAAGTAGTCTCAACGTCTGCCTTTCTGAGATTGGCTAGATGATGGGGCCTGTAAATTCACCCCAAAAGAACTCTCTTTAAAAAAGCTCCTACATCTTTCCACCTCTTTATATTTATGCAACTCATCTTCACAGATTGTCCTAAAATAAGATAGGAGATGTATGCTGTATCCACACCATCTGTAACAGTTATGTTTCCAGTGCTGTGTCATTCCAAATAAACCTTTGGTAATCTGCAGCAATTACCATAATTCCTTCTGATGAGTCATTTGTTTTGGAAAGCTTGTTTCAGTCAGATGCACTACTTGAAACAGTGTATGTTGGAGTTGTTATTTGTGCAGAAGTATGCTTTTTCCTCCGAGTTGTGCTCCACAGCCTGCCTTCATCCCAGTCATTGCTGGTCACTTGGTCGTCCCTGCTGCCTGGCAATCACTAGAGCACAAATAACAGCTGTGGACGGAGGCCCCCCAGAGGTGCTCGCTGTGGCCGCCCAGCCTGTGTATCACAGAAAATCTGATGACCTTCATAATCAGCAGTTTCTTCTCATAGCAGCCTCACTTTTTGGTCGCTTTTCTCTCTGACATGTTTCTGTTCATAGGTCCATAAAAAAATAAATAGATCTGATGGAATAGAAAAGTCAGTTCAGTGGGCCATTGTTTATAGAAGAGAATTTTTTTTTTTTAAAGATTTTATTTATTTATTTATTTTCCCCCCAAAGCCCTAGTAGATTGTTGTATGTCATAGCTGCACATCCGTCTAGTTGCTGTATGTGGGATGCGGCCTCAGCATGGCCGGAGAAGCGGTGCGTCAGTGCGTGCCCGGGATCTGAACCTGGGCCGCCAGCAGCGGAGCAGGCACACTTAACTGCTAAGCCACGGGGCCGGCCCTAGAAGAGAATTCTTAAAACAAAAACCTTTCATTTGATTTTGATTCTTTTCTGCCAGTGTAGTTCTGTCCACAGTGTAAGCTAATCCAGAATGAGCATTATTAGACTTTTAAATTTGGTATGTATTTCTGATTCATGGTTTGCATTCTCCTGGTGGATTACCAACTTGGATATCTAAGTGTTAATAGGGAAATAGTGATTATCGACCCAAGATTTTTCCAGGAGCTAATTCACAGGGAAGCTGGATTGTCCTGAATGCTAGTCTAGCACAAGAAAATAACATGCCACTGCCCGGCAGCATAAGTGATAATTCAGCAAATAAAGGGCATCAATGTAAGATGAATAATAGGATGCCATTTCTGACATTGGGAGTACGTGCGAGAGGTTAAAAGCTAAGACTGAAAAATTAGTTTTTATAATAAAATGCACCTCATGTTCTGCAAAGATAGTTGCTGCGTCTCCTGGAGCAGTTACTCTGGAATTCCCCTCACCCTCCTCCTACAGTGGATCACAAAGTGTCCAGTTGTCAGGACTAGCTCCTTAGGTAACTTTAGCCCACACCTTAGCCCACACCTGAAACGTTCTGAGATGAATTTAATAAAGTTACTCCAAAATGACGTGTTTTTAATTAGCTATTTTGTTCTGGTTTATAGCCTTTGAAAAAAAATTTAACTCCAAATAAAAGTCATCAGATTATTTGTTTTAGGAATTTTCAAGATCCTTGATTTTCCAAAGCACTGAAAATTAAGAGGATGAGAGGGTGGAGGATGGCATGGTGGTATCTCCAGAGATGTCCACAGATGTGGAGGGGACATTCTTCTCCGTTTCAGTGGATTTTCTAAGAGACAAGTGAGCAGTTCAAGGAGTCCCTGTGGTTGCTAGTGTGAAGTAATTTCCAGGTCCCTCTCTCATTTAGTCTAATTCAAGTTCTCAGGCCACCAAACCATCGTAGGCACATCACATGGTCATATATTGGTAAGTTTGTAGCAATGTTTTATTCCAAATGGCCTTGACCCAGGAAGCCCTATTCAAGCCTCTTCTTCATGTTTTAAGATTTCTCCCCAGTGGCCTCTGACCTTCAAATAGTTCAAAGAACTTTCAAAGAATCAGATAAAGAGAGCCTATGGTTTTTATTAAACATACACCTATCTGGCATTCCTACCAATACCATGTATAGATTCTCATTTAAACCTGACTGATGTATATAATTGCAAAGCAAAGCTTTCTGGCAATTTGAAATTTTAACACTATCTCAGCATGGCTAGGGCCTGGGATGGGGACAGCCCCGTGCACCATGCTGTCACGTTACTTCCTCCATGGCCTGCTCTTTCTGACAAAGCTGGGACAGCTTTTGCATGAGGCAGAATACCACATCCGTTATGTCTTGGGCTGCCAGAGAAAGAGTGTGCAGATTTGAAATTCTGAGCCCTCTTATATCACATGAAGAAGCCTATAATCAGGCTATCAGAAAAATCCCACGACTCCATGGCCCATTCTAATGGCCCATTTAAAAAAAAACAAAACTTTGGGAAACTGCAAAAGTTATGAGAAATCAATGAGCTTACAGATGACCTAGCTCAGTGCTTTATTCCACACAAATTGCACGACTGAACACCTTGAAGCCTTAGAAATAAGCGGATTTGCCTTGCCAGGACTCCACTACTCTTTTCAAAGGAGCCCAAGCTGCCTTCTGGTTTTTACTTGGAACCCAACTAAAAACCATATAAACATTATGTGCCAGACCTTGGAGATGAGCTGATCACACAGTTTCCCTACATGGTGGTGTAGCTACTATCTTCCCAGCATAAGGACTCGAATAAATGGAATTGGACATTTGATATTGCATGGAGAAGATTATGACTGATGTTCTCTTAGCAAACGTAGAAAGTCGAGAGCCATGTGGTTCTATTCATCCTTGACCTCTGCCCGTCCCAGACCTGCTTGTATGATCATCCCGTCATGCAGGGCCAAGCTGACCTGAACCCTGGCTGTGTGCGGGCAGCACTCCTCAGGGCACACAGCAAGAGTTTGATAAATTGTTCATAAAAGCCAAATAAAATATGCTTGAATAAGCTCAATGGTCCATTCAAATAGTTTGTGACTCATTGGTTATCCTTGTTTAAGATTGCTTAACAACAGCACATATTACTTTTTCAATTTAAAAGGTAATTGAGACACAACCATTAGATCTATGCAAATTGAGAGGAAAGCCAGGTATCTTGAAGCTCTTTCAAAGGATATCTAACCTTTCTCTTGGTTTCCTGAAGTCCAGTTGATTCCTATCCCCTGTGATCTCAGGTCCAACACTCAGGTTGCCTCATTCTTGTAGGTTGTGTCCGAGTCCTGTGCTTGTTCCCCCTCCCAGCACCCACCCGGGCGGGTCTGCTGTTAGCTCTCGAGAAACACTTACTGCTGCGTTCTGATGCGTCGGGGATCCAGTGCAGTGCCTGAGCGCCTGTCCACAGCATATTGCCATGTGGCTGATTCCCTTGCCCTCCCCCATCAATAAATATCATTAAACTCTTTGTCTTTGTGCTCTGCTCTCCAACATCCTATCATGACCAGAAGTGATTTCTATGGCATTTGATGATGCCACCAAACTTCTGCAAACTCTCTCTAAGATTCCAAGTCTCTGATTGTTCCTTCTCTGTCACCTTTACTAATTTTCTTCCTTCTCCCAGAGGTTGCTGGAGTGGGGCGTGGGGCGGGGCAATGTCAGTCTCCGTCGTCGGTTGGATTCCAGGGCTCCAGAGAGTGTTTCCTTTGGAGGGTCCAATCATTGCTCCCAAGTCCACATGTTCATTTGTTCATTAAACATTTGTCAAGCTCTTGCTAAGTGTCATTACTGTGCACCGGAACCACAAAATAAGACCTTGTATTCAAGGAGTTCTCTGGAAACCTGCCGCAGGTACCACTGAGGGGGTCCCCTTCTCCAGAACCCTAGGCTTGAGGACGTGGGAGCTCACTTCTGTGCTTCATTTTCCAGGTCACAAACACCTGCCTTTGTTTCTTCCCTCCAAACATCATGTCACCTCGCACCTTCATCCCTCTGCCTGATCTAGGAGTGGTACTCATCCCTGCAAGGAAGGCTGTTGGATCCCTGTTGTCTCCCTCATCTCCCTACTTCCCGTCTTCCCGCTTGGCCCACTCCCCAAACCGTGTTACATACACTGATGCAAAAATGTTACCACTTCCCTCCTTCTCACTCTTTCTCTCTCTCTCTCTCTCTCTCTCTCGCTGTCTCTCTCTCTCTCTCTGTCTCTCTCTCTCTCCCCCCCCCACCAGACACACACACACAAACGATGAACATCTGTTGTGTGTTGTATTGAATCTCCACCTCTGGTGGTTTTCAAAGCCCCCATGTCTTCACCAATACTTGTCTTCCGCTTCCATCAGACATGTCTCCTCTGTCCCCACCTGCCCTCCCACCACACCTCTATACTCTGCTCACCCTGTTGCAACCTCCCTCTCCTGGAATGCCCTCCACTCTCCTATTTGTCTCTGCAACTCCCCCTTCCCTTAAGGCACAGCTCAAGTCCCATATCCTCAACAAAGCCTTCTCCACCAGTTCACCCTTCTGCCTGCACCCATTTGGCTCCCTTACTGAATTTAGTGAGAAAATGCTATATTTTAGTCCTTTGTTTCTCCCACTAACTAATAAACTATCAACCTTCTCTATATTCCAAACCCGCGCCAGGACCTTATATACAAATACACCAAGTAAGTGAACGAGAGATTGAGTGATCTGTTAGCTCAGGGAAGTCCAGAAACTCTAATCCCAGGATCAGCATGGACTGAAATCTGAAATGAAGCATAAGAAGAAAAGCTAGAATGCTTTTGTGATATTGGAGAGGGAAAAGTTTTCTTAAACAGGACTCCAAAGTATGCAAAATATAAGGCAAAAAAAAAAGTTTGACTAAAAAATTGAGAATTCCTATTTAATGAAAAATACTTCCAAGTTAGTAGACAGATGATAGATTCATTGAGGATATTTGTAACAACCAAAACTCACAAAGTGTAAATATCTGAAATACATAAGAAACTCATTCAAGTCAACAAGAAACTAGTAATAATAATGATGATATGATTTTAATAATTTAATTATATTTATATCATTTTATCTTTATACTTGCAATATTAATAAATTACTATCAATAGTAAATATAATAACAATTAACATTTGTTGCATGTTTGTTATTTGCCAGACACTGTCCTAAGTGTTCTGCGCATATTAATTCATTGAATCTTCATAAACCTATGAGGTAGTTGCTGTTTTTACTTGCAGATGAGGAAGCTAACGTACAGCAACATGAAGAAACTTCCTCGAGGTCACACAGCCAGTAAGCGGCAGGGGGCAGGCA